AGAAAATCGCGAATTTCTAAAAAGTCAGAAAATCTACGAGCATTTTATAAATATCAGAAAAAGCTCCACGATTTTCCAGATCGATTTTCTATAAACTAGAAATTAATTCCAAATTACAGTGTAGGCGCTGCAACTCTCGATATCGAAAAAAGCATAGGCAAAGTTGGTACTGGTTAAGAAAATACAACAGATAAATCCGGTGGATTTTCAAATGAGTTTTGCGATCCCCTTTTAGCTATGATCTGAAAAGGATAGGATGTGGACAATCAGACCTACTTCTCTTTCACATGAAATGATTTTAACAGATACAGACTTATAAAATGTAATGATAAAGTGTGCTTAACTTTATTTTATCCTAATATTCTTTATCCTTGATTTTCATTTGACTCAAAAAGTATCAGAAAATTGTGAAAGGCGACTGTAAGGTTTTGACTACAGAATGGGATATATGTAGGTTTGTAGACGAAGACTTTCTCTATCCAATGATGTATATATTATCAAATTCTGTTGCGTACCGTGAGAGAAAGTTTAAGGTAACCCCTCTTTTTTTAGACTCTTTTAGAAGTCTTTTTTATTTTTGAGTTAAATGTTGTGCATTATAGATTAAAGTGTCCTCTACAAAATAAGACCCCTTCCAGCTTTCCAAGGCCTTCCGTTGAGGAGATACGAATTTTTTAAAGTTTGTTACTTTCCGCTGAAAAAACCTATTTTTTTACTTTTAAAACTTTTTTCTCTTCCATTCACTAGTTGGTAAACTTTTGAAACAGTCAGTCTTGTAGAGTAAAGATTTCGCTACAAAATGAGATGTTCACCACGTTTGCTGATAGAGCTATGATCATTTTGCTGTAAGGGAACGTTTCAAAATGTATTCCGGTCGGTCGGTCGATATTCCTCTATTCCCCCTGGATAGCCTGGTAAGATAGCTGGTGGTTTCTAATTGTTTGTTTTCATATCTCTCACTGATTTCTGATCATCCAGCAAGTTTTAGCATCTTTGACTGAATGGTTCGTGAGATATAAGTATTTCATTTCTTTTCCCCAAAATGCTGATATTTCCTGACCCAAAAGAGATGAAAACTTTTTATTTTATCAAAATGTAGCCATGAATCTTCTCTATTTACAATATAAATTTATAGCTTGGCTCTTAATGGTTACTAAAAGATAGCTATTTTATGGTTGAGAGTCACTTTTGCAATATGAGATCCTTTCCGAAAAAATTCATAACTCAGTCTAGAAATATTATTTTCATCTCAAAATTGCATCAAATATGTTAAAATGTCTCTAGATTTATTCACACTTCACGCAAAGTTTGAAGCTTAATTATTGTATAGTTGGAGAAAGTCATTGAGAACGAGCACCCACTATTGAAACATATGTAGGGAAACGAGGGTGAGGAATTAAGGGTTGTCCTTTTTACCATATAATATAACTTAATAAAATACGTAAGTAAAACATTGTCAACAAGGTTCTAGACTCATTCTGTCCTCACTCGCCACAACATAACGACTGATTCCATATGGGAAAAATAAAAATTAGTAAAATCACTCCTGCCTATAACAGTCTCCTGGACCCTCAGCCAGGTCGCAACAGTTAGCGTTCTTGCTGATACTAAATTCAGTTAAGAAAGTCAGAACAGTTGCCACTGTCATCGCTACTAAACACTGGCAATACCCGCAGGCAGTTTCCTCCTCACTCTATTCGAAAGAATGCTTTATGCTTGATTTTGGTATGTTGGACAAACGCATGTACATTGGTTTGAACGTAACGTAAAGGATGATCAGCTAGAAAACCTGATGTTTGAGATTTGATTAGTACTGGAGTACTGCAACCATTACCCGTGCCACACCGACTAACATTGCCTAATGTAATCGGTCCAGTCACGTTGCAAATACCATTTATGCGAATACCTACATAAGCTGAAACGGACTGATAACTACCATTAACTCGTTGTTCATTAATTTCACTTTCTTCTTTGGTACGGATTAAATTTGCTTTATCCGTTCGAGCTGTTATAGCTGTTATAGCTATAGAGACATCAAGTTCTTCCGGAAAGTAGACGAATTTCGAAGTTCTTCAGCAAAAAGGATGAATTTCTTCTTAAGAGACATCAACTTCTTCACGAAAAAAGACGAATTCCTCGTTGAAAAAACCAAGTGCTTCTGTACAAACGGTGAATTTCTTGTTGAGATTCACCGAGCTCTTCAGTAAAAAAGATGAAGTTCTTCTTGAGAGACACCAACTTCTTCAGGAAAAAAGATGAATTTCCTGTTGAGACACACCAAGTTCTTCAAAAAAATAGATGAATTTCGTGTTGAGATTCACCGAACTCTTCAGTGTGATCTTCAATGAACGACTGTTGGATTTGCTTTATTCCCTTGACGTTAGTCAGGGTCATAGAAACTAAAATGTTTATATGTCCACACGAACAAATCAAAAACTTAAAAGCTCTTTAGATAAACGGTGTAGATGGCTGAAACGTGGGTACTACAGGTAATTTAGCATGGAGAATCTATTGGTAACATCGGAGGATCTCCAAGAAGTTTTCAGAAGGTTTTGGAAAAATATTTGGTTTTCTGTCGATTTTTAGCTACAGTTTGTATCAATATGCTGAGAAAACACAACAGCTATTGTAATAATTAGGATTTATCTCATCAAGAAAGCATCCGCCAAGCTCATCAAGAACCCTCACCCCTCACACTCCTTTTCGTAATGTAATTGAGCACAAAAATTTGGTACTATTAAAGAAGTATTGTTGTTTTGATTGTTAAATAATGGTAAAATAGTTTCCTTTATATTCTGGTCCTCTAAATCGATTTTCCTGAAGAACTTGATGCGTCCAAAAAGATATTCATCTTTTTTCCTGAAAGACAGATCAAGTTCCCGCGGGCAAACATCGAGTTTTTGTGAAAGTTAGATGAGATTCTGCTGGAGAAACATTATCGGGAAGAAAGATGAAATTCTCGTGGAGAAACATCGAGTTTCTGTGGAAGAAAGATGCTTGTTCTGCAGAAACATTTAGCATCTCAAGAAGAAAGATGAAGGTCTTGTCGAGAAACATATTGTTCCACTCGACGAAAGATGAATTTCTTGTGGAGAAACATATAGTTTCACAGAAAGACAGATGAAGTTCTTGGCGAGAAACATCGAGTTTCTGTGGCAGAAAGGTGTAGCTTTTGTGGAGAAACATCGAGTTTCTCTGGAGTCAGGGTCATAGAAACTAAAATGTTTATATGTCCACACGAACAAACCAAAAACTTAAAAGCTCTTTAGATAAACGGTGTAGATGGCTGAAACGTGGGCACTACAGGTAATTTAGCATGGAGAATCTATTGGTAACATCGGAGGATCTCCAAGAAGTTTTCAGAAGATTTTGGAAAAATATTTGGTTTTCTGTCGATTTTTAGCTGCAGTTTGTATCAATATGCTGAGAAAACACAACAGCTATTGTAATAATTAGGATTTATCTCATCAAGAAAGCATCCGAGAGAACAAAAATGTTCAGAATTACAAAGATCTTGAGATAAACGGTGTAGATGGCTGAAACGTGGGGCTGTATGACGACCCTTTAGGGCTAAACGTATTATTCCTGCTAAACCCACAAGGTCTATACCATTCCTTATCTGGATTTAGCGCTGTTGACAGTCGATCCAAGTCTGCTGGTACTATGATACTTCAACTGGGTGTTTATATTAAACGAAATACTGAAGTACTCAAGAAAAGTACTCGTCTATCTCTGATGTGCAGCGCTATTTCTAACGATATTTTTCTTCAGAGCAGCATAATTTATGTTGAGAATGTCAAAGTGGAACTTTTCACCTAGTTCTAGGAGGAAAAAGACTTTCGAGTAGTGGTTAGAGAAGGTCACTCTTTCCTCATTTTCAGAAAGCTTTTGGTTTTTTGCGATGAGCCCGTTGTTTTTAGTAATTTACCGGGTTTTTTGCAGTAAGTTATAAAAATGTTATTTGACTTATCCGCAGTTGACAGAAAATTTCCTCGACGTTGTGTTACTATAAATCTCTTCGGAAGAATGAAGAGATTGAGTCTGAAATTCTGAATTCACAGATAGATTAGTAAAGATGACTGATGCAAGTTCGATTTTAAGAAATTCTTAGCAGATGCATGTATTAGGAATATGAATGCAATGCATTGGAATATTTGTAGTGCATCATAGCACTACTAGGGAAAGAAAACGATAGAAAAAGGAGAGAACCGCGTACATTTTCTTTTTCTTTCTTTTTATCAGCTGTTTCTTTTGTCTTGCCTTTCTTCAAAGATATAGAATGTTGTACAGTTTGAATCAATACTGAACGTCAAAACTGTTCCTATTCGCTTTCGTTAAAACCAATATAAAATATGAAACTTAGCATACAACGGTCGTCAGTTAACCCTTGACGTTATTGCGAAGAAGATTTTTCACTCTTTCGATCCATCTTTTCGATTTATGCAAAAAAGATTTAAACAGGGGTTGACTTTCGGCGTTCATAAAGACTCAGTTTTTCACTAGAGTAGTTGATCTCGGAATAAGAGTAATATAAGCGTTTAGTGATGTAAACAGGGTTTCCCATTCTGTTTTGAACCGCTTCCGGAGGTATAAGATCGAAATCTCACGGTGCCAGATACAAAAGAAGCAAAATACCACTAAGAGCTGTAGTCGACAAAGTTCTGATTATTTTATTAGCAGCATCAATAGAAAAAAAATCATTCAATATACAAAACAGAACGCCAGTCATTGTTTATAGAAATAAATTAAAACTAACAATTACATTGTAAATGTACATGTTTCAGTTGACATGGACACTCCTTTCCGTAATGTAATTGAGCACAAAAATTTGGTACTATTGAAGAAGCATTGTTGTTTGGATTGTTAAATAATGGTAAAATAGTTTCCTTTATATGCTGGTCCTCTAAATCGATTGTCCCATGAAGACAAGATGTAAGATCAATTCGAATTTGTTTTAAATTGGCTAATGACATGAAGAGTGTTTCCCATCTTTCACGATTTAGATAACGATCCATTGGTGTATAGATGGGGAAGGGGAAGAAAACTACTTTGGAGTTTCTAAGACAAGAATGGAAAGACGAATTTTGGTGACTTTTCAAAAAAATCATACATTTATGCTTGTTTTACTAGCACTTTAAAATTCTTTTGATCCTAAAATGACATTTAAGAATGTAAAATTGACTTTTTTCTAGCTAACTGAATTAGTTCTAAAAAAACTGGCACAGAAAAAGTGAAAAAAACGTTTTGCTGTTTGACTGAATTCTTGATTTCCCGTGCCTGAAAAAACGATGATACTTCAACTGGGTGTTTATATTAAACGAAATACTGAAGTACTCAAGAAAAGTACTCGTCTATCTCTGATGTGCAGCGCTATTTCTAACGATATTTTTCTTCAGAGCAGCATAATTTATGTTGAGAATGTCAAAGTGGAACTTTTCACCTAGTTCTAGGAGGAAAAAGACTTTCGAGTAGTGGTTAGAGAAGGTCACTCTTTCCTCATTTTCAGAAAGCTTTTNTCGCTTTCGTTAAAACCAATATAAAATATGAAACTTAGCATACAACGGTCGTCAGTTAACCCTTGACGTTATTGCGAAGAAGATTTTTCACTCTTTCGATCCATCTTTTCGATTTATGCAAAAAAGAGTTTGCGCTTGAAGATTTGTCAGCCCCGATCCTGCTGAACTGGACGAAATATCGGGACTGATAGGGAATTCTTTTTTGTAACTTTTTGCATGGAAAAATAGGATAAAAAGCTGAAAAATCGAACGTTCCAAGAGTTTAGCTGATGAAACAGACATTTTCAAGAAGCAAAGAAAAGTAATGCTTTTCTTCTTCTTGTCTTTTTACCATGTATAAAGCTGTCCTTTTTCTAAGAAAATATTACCAGTTCCATATAAATCCATGGTTTTTCGTACATCCTCGATGAATGATTCGTAAGGTACTAGGTTTTGTGAGTAGTTTCTTACTTTTTAAAGAATGAAATAAAAATATTTTTCTTGACTCTAGTTTTATCACAATCTGAATGTTCGATTACATTCCATGAGCCACCATCATAAACATGTATTGCCAGTGGTATAGCACACATTGATCAAGGATTTCAATCACACAATACACACAAATACCACATGAAATCATAGACGATATGGTGTCGAAAGGAAAGATTTTAAAAGATATTGTAATTATTGTTGAAAACTTTTATTTATCAAATTCTCAGAGTTTAATGAATTACTTGATTATTCACATGTTGAATAACACTTAACCTGATCAACAGAGGCCACATGATGCATTTTTGCAGCGTACAAGTGAACCAATAATGAATTGGCAAGCAGAATATTTTAAGAATTCGCAACATTTACTACGTGATCTTATAAATTCTCCATCGAACAGAGGCAATTCGTGGAAGAGTCCTGTCACGCACTCCGTCAACTGGAGTGTGAAACTTCAAACTGCTTTACATTGGTATTTTGTTGTCTCAATTATAAATCCAACTCTACCACACAAAGATCCTCCTTTCGCTGCTAGTTTTAAACTTGCTCGATTATTTGTTGATACTTGCTGCTTCGAAAAGATCAAATTAAATTCGCCAACAAACATTCCCTAGTCGATGTTCTTGTTAAGCAAGAACGCAAGATCTTGTGACATTTCTTGCCCAAGAATCGTTTCTTGCGCATTCTTGCCTCTTTCTTGCCCCAAGCAAGTATTTTTCTTGCACAAG